TGGGTGGGTTTGATTCTTCTTCCACAGCTCTTTTACAGGTTGTCGTGACTTCACTGTTGAAATGTACCAACACGTTGTCCTCCTGCGCTGCAGGTAAAGGGAGGTAAGATCTTTGCTCTATTGCTCCCACAGAAGCTGTCCATTGGCTTTTGGGACACTGTTAGACTTTTTCTCTCCTGCTGGTGGTGTTAGAGCTGTTGAGGGTGTACACGGTCCTGCAGCCACAGATAGCCCTGTATTAGTATAGCATTAGCCTAGTGAGGTTTAAGAGTCAGGACTGTCCTCTAGCAGAAGAAGAAAAAGAGGCAGATTATGGTTAAAAATGGCTATTATGGGCGTGATGGCCTCTCCAGCCTGGTTCTAGAGCTGTGTCCCTGTAACATGGGGACAGTACTGCTGGCTGCCACCAGGTTTGGTTACCCTCTGAACCTAGCTGAGCACCCAAGCCATGCAAGGAACCTGTGTACAGGGCTTCAACCTGACATAGTGATGTGTATCTGACTGTATCATACATGACCTGGATCATGCACATGACCATACTCTTCCTCAGGTCTCTGATTTGAGCCTTACCTGCTCCCTGTCTCTACTCAGCCACAAGCAGTGGCAGCAGGTACAATGGTAGCTGCTCTGCTCCTCTCCGATCATCTGAACCCCATCAAGCTGCTGCTGGTGTGTGGGTGACTGTCACCCAAGAGATGCTCCTCTCTAGGGCTGGTTCGGGGTGCAATACCCATGCTCTGCTGGGGGTAGGAGCCTGGGCAAAACCAAAAACCAGCAAAACCCCCACCCCCAACAACAACAAAACAGTGGAAGTAAGCAGAGCACTGAAGAACAGAGCAAATGTCTATGAAACTCTGTACTACTCTGCCAGCCTCAGCTACTCCAGTGTTGGTCTTCCTGAGTTAGATGTGATTTCATAGAGCTAGTGACCCCCAGTGAATCTCAAATACTGGTTTCCCTGTCTGCAGACCAGGTTATCTGCACACGAGGCATGTAGTGGGACACATCAGTTGGATTTAGATTGCCAGCGTGAGTTGTGCCCATGAGCAGAGCAGTTGTGTCGCCAGTGCCTCTACCTGAGCTCTTGTTTTTGTCTGCGGTTGCGGAAAGGGCTCTGCTGGCTTCCCAGGGGCTGGGAGGGGAGCCCTGGTCACAGTGTTCCCAACCCTCAGCCACAGCTGCTGTGAGGGATGAGGGCTGCAGCTGGTTGCCCAGTCCCAGCACTATGTCGGTGTCACCCTCAACCCAGGGATACCCTGTCCTCCTGGGTCGTTCTCAAGTGTTTCATCAAAGGAGTGGGGTGCTCATCCCAGCCCCGGCTGACCTGACTATCAGAGGTTTATCCTTAGCTTGGATCTCACTGCTTCTTTCCTAAAACCATCATTGGCATTCTCCCTTTGAGCATCTCCTTCCATTTCAACCCCAGTTAGGTCGGTATAAGGCTTTCTCCCAGCATAGAATCACAGACTGGTTTGTGTTGGAAAGGACCTTAAAGTCCCTCCAGTTCCAACCCCTGCCACAGGCAGGGACACCTTCCACTAGAGCAGGTTGCTCCAAGCCCCTGTGTCCAACCTGGCCTTGAACACTGCCAGGAATGGAGCAGCCACAGCTTCTCTGGGCACCCTGTACCAGTGCCTCAGCACCCTCACAGGGAAGAGCTTCTGCCTAAGATCTCATCTCAATCTTCCCTCTGTGATGCTAAACCCATTCCCCCTTGTCCTGTCACTACAGGTCCTTGTAAAAAGCCCCTCTCCAGACTTCTTGTAGGCCCTTCACATTTCTTGTAGACCTGCAAAAGCTATGCACCCCCAGCCCTTTCTGTATTTTCCTTTCTTTGTTGCACCTTTGGCACTTTTCTTCCTTTATCCAGAGCTTTCTGATCTGGGTTTGACGATGTGTCTTTATGTTTGGGCTCTTAGGATGAGAGGAAACAGCCTCAAGCTGTGCCAGGGGAGGTTTAAACTGGATATTAGGAAATATTTCTTCACTGAAAGGGTTGTCAAGCACTGGAACAGGCTGCCCAGGGCAGTGGTGGAGTCACCATCCCCTGGAGTCATTTGAAAGACATGTATACATGGTGCTTAGGGTCACGGTTTAGTGGTGGACTTGGCAGTGTTTGGTAAATGGTTAGATTTGATGATCATTTCCAACGTAAATGATTCTATGATTCTTTAAGATCATAGAATTCCACTGGCATTTTCTGCCACAAACCTTCATGACAAATTCACATATGATTTTCATCCATGCTCTAGCCTAGATGGGCACCTTTCTTCTGCTGGACATCTTTCTTTTGAACATATCCCTTTCTTCTCACTTTCCTGCCAATGCTATTTTCAGGGTTGGATTTCTAACTTTCTTCACCTCACAAATTTCTCTGATCTCCCCAGCTTCTGCCTCACCTCTCTGTACATGTGAGTGTCATTGTCACCCTTCTCTGCATCTGGGAACATGGACACGCTGCAGAAGACAGGCGCTTCATGAGCACCGTGAAGTTAAAGAGTAAAAACCAATTTAGAAAGGATCTTGAGAGAGAACATATAATCCAGCTCTCAGCCCTGGAGCAGGATCCTATCAACTTAAATAATTTCCTAATAAGTATGTCTAGCCTGTTTTTCCAAGCCACCCAGGATGGAGGATCCACGCCTCCCCAGGCAATCAGCTTCTCTATTGACACTTAGAAAATTCTCCCAATTCCCAGTGTAAGCCCCCTGTGATAGTTTTTCTTATCCAGCTCTTGTTTTTACAGATACAAATATGACTGGATGACACCTTTATTGTCTCTGCCTTCTCCCATAACTCTTTTTTTCCAGGTCTTTTATTGCTGCAGACTTTGGCTCCTCCTTGCTATGCTTGATTTCATCTCTAAAACTGCACATGAAAAGGCTGCAGCTTCACACCCTCCCTCCACGAGAGGTGGGAAACAGGTGAGTTGAATATAATTCAGTGGGGCTAGTGCAGTCATGTCATTCAGGGAAGATCCCCCAGGCACTCCAGTAATCATCTTAAATGAAAAAGCATGAAATTAAAATCACCAAACACAGCCACATCCACCCATCTCACTATCTGTATCTTCAGACCCACATGTAGTTAAATGGCAGAATCACCCTGATCAGAATACCCCAGACTGCTGTTGACAGGTTTTTATTCAGTCTGAGGTTTAGGATGAACAAGGGACAAATTTAACCCCAGACTGGCTGCAGTCAGAAGTTTGAATTCATTATAACAGATCTACTGTGGTATGAGACCATTTCTGAGCTGAAAAAGTAATTCAAGGTGATAATATTATTTTCCCTTGTCTTGTGGTACCAGCTTTGTGGACATTGAGGGACTTAGGGTTTTATCCGGTGTGACTGCACAAATTTCCACTCTCATAGTGCTGTGGGCTTAGCTTAGACTAATACTCAATATATTTGGAAATGTCACAAGATCACTTTTCCTCTGAAGAGGTTCGTACGCAATGGGAGAAACAGATAGTAAGGCAGGAGAGAGAAACAGAAAATCAAAGCAAAGGAGTGAGTGGAAACATCAGCAACCTGTCATTTTCCTCTACAGCTTTGCAGGAAGTCTTTGGTAGAACCAGAAAGAGCAATTAGTTCATTTGCACATCAGTAGGAGTCCTCAGCTGAGAAAGTCTCTGCTTTTCACGGAGCACCTAGACCTACCAGGCTCAGGGTGAGGCTGCCTCTCCAGCAGACTGGATTTCCCTACTATATGATATATACCCACAGGCATCCTTCGTTCTGGGAAGCAGGATAGACCAGATGAGCCTTGGGAGGCCTTGAACCTTCTATTTGTGATTCACTACCGCTCTACTTCTGTGGTGTGCATGCCCCTGCTATGGAGGACTTCTTGTTTGGGTTGCCCTTGTACCTGGAGGCCACATGAGCCCAGTACCCTGCTATGCTACACAGCAAAAAGTAGTATCTTGCCTAAGGAGCTCATACTGCAGTTGAAAGGGGGCACAAGGGCATTTCAGTTCTTCCTTGCTGTCACTACAAAAGGTCCCAGAGGACCATAACCTAACTGGCTGTGTCCGATCCGGTGCACAATAGGATTTTAGAAGATATTTTCAGGATTGGGAATGGTTTCAGTGAGGCAGCACATCCTGATAAAACCTGCACATGGGTCAGGGAACCTTTGGGCTGATGTCAAGTTGGCCACTACTGCTTGGCATTAGTTCATCATGAGATCTCAGGGCAAGGAAAACCTGCTATAACTTTACCTAGACTGTGACCAGGCTGTCTCACAGCCACATCAATACTTTCTCCCTGCTGGCTGGTTTGATTTAAAGCCCAGAGGTACAATAGGAGACTCTCTCACAACTTCCTAGTGTTTTATATCAAAACCTGCACCCTGGAGGACCCACTTTGCAGGTCTGACATATTCAATCCCAGGAACCCTTGACTGAGCCTGCTCCAAGGTGTGCGCTGGCAGTCATTTTGCAAACAGAAGCTGCATGCCAGCTTGGAGATGAAGCTCACTGCTTTGCTACTGTCTGCTTTGCTGCTGCACTTGGGGCATGAGAGTTCCTGACTGTCTGATGGGAAGGGAGATGGGAAACCAGCCAGCAAAAACTCAGCCATGAGGAAAATTCCTGGCTGGCCCTTATTGCACTTTGCTTCTTTGGGCCTAATGGTGAGAGCACAAAAGGGCTGTTCAAATGGTTTCTTCTCCATCATTCGTATGTATGGCAGAGGCTGTATGTTATTTAAACAAGGTCTGCACCAGAGACGTACCATGCCAGCCTTTCCCCACGGGCTGCATACTCTAGTCTGGGGAAAGACAAACGGCAGTGCTCATGTGGAGGAAAAGGCAGAACTTTCGCTTTAAATGAAAAAGCCAAGCACTGGTGCTAGTGCTGCGCAGTGTGTATTCTTCAGAGCATTTCCGCAAAACCACTTCCCCCAAACCCTTTTTGCTTCTGGTTTATAACGCCCTCGTGGCACACAGTGCTCTGTTCAGCAAGACTTGGCAACATCCTGTGCTTACCTCCCATCAGCATGAAAGTGTCCGTTGTCCTCAGCTTCTTCCTGGCCTTCCTGGACCCAGGTGAGTTTTCCACTGGGACGTCTGGGGCTACGAGACATGGAAAGGGTCTGGGAATGGGCGCTCTGCACATGGATCTGTTCCTGCCCTTTGAGCCATGTGAACTCCTCATGTGGGGGAATTTGCACTGCAGAGGGGTGGCCAGGGGCTCATTCATCCATGCCTGTGTTTGTGTCACATTTTAGACACTGTATGTCCTTTAACTCTGCTCCAGAAGACCACTGTCGTCTTGGATGTCTTGTGTCATACCTGCCACCCCATGTAGATATCATAGCCACTGCAAGGTACCTGGGTTTATGAAACTGACACACGCCCTTGGGTCTCACTGAGTGTGTCAGGGAAGACATGTTGTTGTCCTCTGTTGGTAAACACTTTATTCCTTTCCAAGTGTTTCCTGCCTGATATTCTAGTCTGCTTAAGATGTTCCAGGAGGTAGATGGTACAGTGGTCTCCCCTAATGCCTGCAAAGGGATATGCCATTCTTCAGTTTGATCATAGTAGAGTCAGTACCCACTGGCAGCCTCTTGATCCCCAGACCTTTGGGTGTCTGTGCTCATGGCAAAGAGAGGATTTGGGGCCTGGGAATCCAGGGACACCTGGATGCCTGCCAGGAAAGAGGGGTGGGGATGCTTTCCTTAGCAACCCCAGGAAAACCAAGCAAACATCATTGTGCAGAAGACAAGGGAGGCTGGCTGGGTATTGGCGATTAATACAAAATGATATCCCAAAAATGGCCTCCCTTCACTTGCCCGAATTCAAGTTCATGTTAGAATAAATAATAATATGAATACTTAAAAAGTAACACACAAGTTAAGCAATGGAGCAGAGCAAATAAAGGAAGAGGAATATGAAAAGTGCTGATTAAATGCTGAAGCAAAGAATTTCAATGAAAACGAGATCCCTCATGACTGCCACCCAGAGATGTGTTCTTCTTCTTTCCCCCAGGAACTTCTCTTCAGTGTGAGGTTTGTCACAGCATAGGGAAAAGCTGCTCTGGCCCCATGAAAACCTGCAGTGGTGGTGAAGATACCTGTGGCATCATTCTGCATGAGGTCATGATAGGTAAGTGGGAAAACCACTATGGCCATGTGCCAGTGCAGCCTTTGGAGTGGGGTTGGGGGATGGGTGTCTCTCCCTACCTCTGTCACTGGTTTTGTGGTGAGTCTTTGGATAAGCTGTTCATTGTCCTTTTCACTGGCAGAGGACCCAGAGATCAGGACAGTCTGGGATGGATAAAGCTCTCTATTCCTCTTTCTCAAGCAGCTGTTCCTTACTGGGAAGGCTTGGTTCCTAGTTGTGGAGCTAGGCAGCATACTGGGGGGAGACATAGGCTTTTAGTTCTGGCTAAGGTGAACGGCTGGGTTGAGAGGCTAGACCATGAGAGACATCACGCTGCTGGCATCTAGCACTGAGGGTGCACTGGCCATGGGTGGAGGAAGAAGCTGCACTGAATCTGGCTCCCTTCCTTGGGCAGGGAAGGGGTCACCAGGCAGTCGTCTGGCACTACCAGGGCTGAGCTATCACCATGTCCCCATGGTTGATAAGCCAAAGATGGGTGCTGAGCACTGAGATAACTGCACAATTGGTTATGTTAGTGGCATGGTTTTGGTCATTGCTCGTCTTCAGTGGTGTGACTGTTGGCTTTCAGACTGGAGGTTGGCTCATATCCTACGAGCTTTGGTGCTAGCAGCTCCAATGCGTATCTTCTGTCTGCTTGTGCAAAGCCACCTTTCATCCTTGAAGAACTGGAGGAGCGTCAGTAGACTCAGTGTAACTGTTCTACTCCCCATTACACTTTTTGGGTTTGATTGATGGGGAAGACTAGACTTGCCTGTGTTAGGATGCTTGTGGCTATGATGCACCATGTGCTCTGGTCCATGAAGAAGCATGGGCTATGGATTATGTATCACCTCATAAGCTCTGTGGCTAGGATATCCTGGCTAAGGTGAACATCTGTGACAAGGCCAACTGTGAGGAGTCGTGCCCTCCTCTTGCCTTTAAACACAATGTGGAGAAGGATAGATTCCCCACTTGTGTCTTAGCTGTGATGGCACCCTCGTTTCTCTGAGGGTATCTCCAGAGTCACCAGTGCTGCTTTTTGGGGAACTTGTGCTGTCCACAGACCCCTCTTAGGCCCCAGGACAGCTGTATAGCAGTTGCTGCTGTAGGAACTAATGGGCAAGGAAGCAAGTTACCTTGTGGTTAACGTCTTATTGCTGCCTGTCTCTTCGTTACAGGGGGGATGGCAATCCCTTCATCCATCAAGTCCTGCCTGCCATACAGCATGTGCCAGGTTGGCCCTATCACCATGAACTATGGGAAGGTAAAAGCAAGGAGCCAGTTGGCTTGCTGCACAGGCGATGACTGTCGAACCATCTCTGTCTCATGTAAGCTCTCTTTTTCCTTATACACTTATACCCTGTGTCCTCTGTCTCTGCCCTGGCTTGAGGTGGGGCCTTCCAAGCTAAGCCACCACCGGGCCCATTCCTCTCATTCCCTCATTAAAACCAATTACGGTCCATCTATTTCCTTCCAGTGCCACCAGAGGACAATGTGCCCAATGGATACCAGTGTCCTGCCTGCTACAGCGTGGACTCCTTTCAGTGTGGTAATGAAATCGTGAACTGCACTGGATCTGAAACCCAGTGTGTTGACCTTGCTGGGTTAATGAATTCTGGTAACTACCGTTTTTTTGGTTCTCTCTTTCACCTTTTTTGTTATATGGGTGAAACCAGTCTAATAGGATGAAGCTTCACAGAGAAATAAAAGTGGGCAGAAAGTGTGAAGGAAAAAAAATAGGGTGAGGTACAGAACTGACACAGAACATTCTTAAGGCTGGTAAAAGGGCAGGGGTGGTTTTTTTTTCTTCCTCCTTTCCCATCATGTGTGGATAACTGTTGGGATTCCTCATAGCATGGCATAACTGACGCCAAGGGCAGCAATCTGATACATTGACATGTGATAAATCTGACCAACACCTTGAACCTGCTGGCCCTAGCTAAGATGCATGAGGATGAATCTGGATCTCAGCCTGCTGCCTACTTGGTGGAGGTTCAGGTGCACCTAATACAGAGCCATCGGCTTTCTCATGAGGTGACACTGGCCACTGGGGACAAGACACTGTTGTAGTGGTGCCTCTGCTCCTAGAGAGCAAGGGACAAGTGCCTTCCTGTGAACACTGCATAGGGTACACAAGGATCTTCCCTGCAAGGGAGCTCCAGCCTTTGGACAACTTGGGGCAGCAGCAGCACGTAACACTCTCCTCCAGAAATCTTTTTCCCACCTCAGGAGCTGTAATTAGAGAGAGGGAAATAGACAGCAAGTTCCATGGTTACTCCCCTTGCTGCAGGTAAAAGATTTCATGGCAGTCCCACCATGCTCCAGCAGGCAGGAAAAATAATGTGGAAATGAAGAGCAGTGGCACTTGTTGTAGGAGCAGACTGGAAAAAATTATCTTGTGTATGGTTACAAATGAAGTTTCTCTGAGTTGACAATATTGCTAGGTGATGATATGATGCCTGAAGGTCTTTGCTATACACATTATAGATGTGTTGTCCAACCCCTGAATTAGAAGGTGTTTCATGAAGACAACATGAAGGAAAACAATAATTTTCTTAGTCATAGCAATGGAAATAGAGCGGTGCAATTAATTCAGTGTACCACTGGAACAAAACATGCTCCTAACTTGTCTTGACTTGATTGATCGGCCGCTGTGAATAACGAAGATGCGTGCCGTGTGATTAAGCTGTGCAGAGGAAGCAGCAGAAGAGCAACTAGTGAGGCACACTTGTACATTATTTGTATTTGAGATAAAAATGTCCAGCAGAATATTCCAGACTTCCATAGCTTGTGCAGCAGAGAAACATGAGTAGTGTGAGCACAAGCGAGCATTGGGAGCAAGGATATCTGAAGATGGAGTTAAGTATCCAGCACTTTCTCAGGTCTTTCTCTCAGGCAGATGCTCCAGTGTTGGTAAAGGACAAGTTCAGGTTTCAGGCTCTCCCTCAGAGGACGTGAGCCCCGTTTCTCTGTGGTTTGGCTAAATCCTGTAAGGTCTTAGAGACTTGCCTGAATAAATGGCTCAGCCCCCAATGTCTTTGAGACTTCTCACTCCCATGTCAAATTTGGCTGGGAGATAGTAATCCAGTTCAAATGTCATTAGAGGTCAGAGAGAGGAGGAGACAATGAATACCTGGAGTATTGTCACACAGCCTTATTTTCTTTAGGAAGCTAGGAAAGGTTTAAGCAGAAGATTCTTTGAATGCAAGAAAGAAAACTCTTTAATATCTGAAATTTTTAAATTTAAAAAGTTTAGATTCATATTTCAAGTTAACCAAAGTGGCCTTCCTGTTTCTTCAATTTTTTTCAGAAGATGGATACAGACAGGAATGGGTTGGTGGGTTTGGAGCCAACTGGACGTAAGGAATGGGCAGTTCTTGGGGTGGAAAGGGGACCTCATTGGCCAGGGAGGAAACAATAATGGAAACTGGATCCCCTGATGCATGGCATGTGCTTCTTCTCATGTGCAGGTGGCCTGTCTCTGAAAGCTGCCATGAAAGGCTGCACCACCATTTCTGAATGCAATATTGTAGGAGATGGAAAAAATAAGCTGGGGATGATGGACATAAAGTTAAGGCGGTTTCAATGTAAACAAGCTTCTGTTTTGGCCAGAGTGAACTCTGGGTTTGCCCCTTCAGGCACCCTCTTCCTTCCTGTTCTGTTAGGCTTTATTCTGGAGAAGGTTCTTCTCTGACTCTCACTGGTACTGAGTTAAGCAAAGCCCACGACAGACTCCAGCAGTGATGTGCACCAAGTCCTGTTTGTAGCTTCTCCTGTGTGGGGTGTTTGTTTTCAGATTAGCTCTTCTTTTATAATTTCACAGAATAAAGACAGTGCTTACACTTCTTTTGTTTCCTCATTGATTTAATCTGAATTAAATTTTCACAGGTTCAGTTGTGGTTGGCTTAATATTACATACACTGAGTGCTTTGTCCACACACTGCATGAGGTGCCCATACACTGCACAGGCAATGGGAACTCTCAGGGCAGCCTTAAGGTCTATATCCACTATCTCACAACAATGAGAAGTTTCAAAGCCACTTTTCCAGGCTCTGAAAAGGATTGGAGGCAAGTTTCTGAGAGATTCATTCTGATTAGAGAGAAAGCTTGCCACTTCCTCCCCTGTATTCTATCATCTGTCCATGGTAGGAGGAGTCACTCAGTTCAGAGGGGTGGTTGTGGCCTCTGAGTAGCCCTTAAGTAGTCTCAATTTCAGAGAAGAGTCAGGTTGGTCCCACACAAAGACAATGGAGAAAAACACCACATCTCTATACCTGGGAGGTAGTATGGGTTGTGGGCAAAACAATGAAGCAGTGGGAGCTCTGGGAGATGCTGGGGTATATGCTGTGGGAGCCAGTGTTTCACTGTGCATCTCACCTCAAAGGAGTGGCCCGTTTTTGGAGCAGACTACAGGATTATTAAGCAAATTTCATGGTCGTGTCTGTCCTTCATAGCCCTGGCTCACAGTGCAAATGTGCAGTGCTTTGGACATTGACTTACAGTGATCAAGCAACACAATTTTACCTCCTAGTTCAATGTTCAGTGGCAGAAAGCAGTATAGAAAGCCTTGGCTGCTGAAACCAGACCATAAACCCATCATCACTGGTGAGATGACTACACCTACACATGTATGTGTGAATATATATGTGATCAGCTTTTAACTTGCAGCATGGGGACCGAATAATCTTGTAATTTCTGTCTCCCTCAGCCTTTCTCTCCTTCCCAAACAGGCTGAAATTTTTTCTTCCTTGTATTCCAACCAGGTTATCTGGGAGAGAATTTCACATTGTCTATTATAATAAAGGGGTGTGGGTCTGAGAAAGAAAGTTTATTTTTGGGATGGGGAGTGAACTGATAATACAGTTCACTGTATTACAAAAGGAATAAAGAGTCTTGTTAGGGTCAGTTAATTATTTGCAGAGACTGTGCAACTGTGGTAAGAGAGGGATGTTAGAGAGGGAATACAGCTCCCCCTTCATGGTGTAGCAATGGACTGATACTGCAGTGACCCACTCGTTCAGCATTTTTGCAGATCTGATAACACCCTGGAATTAAAAAAATTCTCTATCTGTGCAAGTACATTATCCCTGAACACATCTCCTGCACGTTCATGCAGAACATTACATTACTGTCTGTGGCACCCCCATGGCAGATCTCGATCCGCTTCAATAGCTCAACCCTTCACTTTCTGTTCGTTCCACTTTGACCTGTGATGTTATCGGGACGGAAAAGCTAAATGGGTTTGTTCAGCCTAGTCAAGACTAGGGTGAGACACGTCCGAGAGTCGTGGTGCTGGGGTGGTGTTTAGGGGAGGACAAGAAGGAGAGCAGACAGCAATGTTTCTGGCAGGGTTTTGTGGAAAGGAGAAGTAACTCAGTTTTGACCTCTAACTTTATGTTGTGGCAAATAAAGCTGTTGCAATCTGCATTTGTATAAATGGAGCATTGATGAGTGGAAACAACCCTGCATCCTTATTACTGATACACTACTGCTTGGTCCTGTTCCAGCATCGACATATTTAAAGGCTGTTAAAAATGGAAATTGTGAGGTAAACCGCCTTACAGCGGAAGTCTTCAGAGCATAAACCTGTGATCTTACTGAGAGGGAAATAGAGAGGTGGCTTGTTTACAGGCTACAGGCACACTTACATGGAAATGATTAGATCTTAAAGGACTCTTTCATCCACAAGAATGCAGCAGAAAACTGACAAATTCAAAGGAGAAGAAGTCACACCATCACTGTGCACAGACTGCAGCCATGAGAGCAAAGCAGTCACCAGCTTTTGATGTCTGTTCCAGCATGAAGGCCTCTCAGAAGTGGATGCTTTAGCTGCAGACAGGTTATAGGCAGTTCAGGCAGAGCTGGTAGAAACGTGATAGACTGGGATATGGAGGAAGGTGATGAACTGATGAGCCTTTCTGATCTCCGGTCTGGCTGCTGGGCAGGAGACATGATACTGGAGTGTGCTGAGATAAAAGCAACACTGAAGATGGAATAAAACCTGGTGGCGCCAACTTACAAACACAAATCAAACAATGAGATCTCGGTATCTTGAGCAAGGAGTGATGAATGAGGAACCCTTGCTTCTAAGCATGTGCAGGGCGTGGACACCAGAGAAGGGTCATCTCCAGTGATTCCCTTAGGTGAACACGGGATGCCCCACTGCTTGCAGGGTTTAGATGAGGATAAGCTGCAGGGAGCAGCCCTTAGATTGTAGGCATGTTGGGGAGGAGCAAGGAGACATGTGGCCAAAACTCATCACAGTGAGTGGAGGGAATTCTGCTGACTTTAATGGGCTGTGAACCAGGCCTTAGACATCAAACTAGGTTGTTTCCATCTGCAATTTCTCCTTATAATATATACAAACACTACTCCCACACAGGCGCACACACGCAGACATGTAAATACCAGATCCTCCCTTAGATCTTGCAGATACTTCAGCTACCAGGCATGTGAGATACAGATGCTTGCAGCCCTGGATGGCTGGTTGCTGCCTTCTTTACCCACAATAGCCACCACGTCAACAGCAGCTTTGATCTCCCCCATTGCATAGCAATGAGGACTCAGACCACTGTCTTCTCTCCCCAGACAGTGGAAAATTATCCCTTCCTTGCCATCCCTTCTCTCCTCTGAAGTTTCTGTTCATTCCCAAAATGCAGGAGTCCTGGCAGCAGCCATAAAATCTGTTGGTGATCTGAGATAGGAGATGGACATGCAGGAATTTTGCTCAACAGGCAAAATTGTAGGGTGGTGATTTTGTAGGGTGGAGGTGAGGATTTGAGCTGTCTTTTAGTGGACACAGCTCTGGGCTCTGTGGTTGGACTTGGGAGGAGCAGAGCAGGAGAAGCTGGGAAGAAGGGGCTGTGTCTGTGAGCAGCCACACACCATGCAAGGCAGATGTCATCAGATACTAAGACCCCCTGGCTCCTAAGCTTCCCAGAGTATCCGGAATGGTTTTCCTTCCACTCTTTGGGAAGCATTCTGGCCCCTAGCAGTTTCACACCAGGAGTTCAGGACACCGGGACACAGTTTAACTGGCCAGAGCATGTAGTTGCAAAGGGATGCAAAGTTCTTGCTGTGTTTCTTTTATAGAAACCCCTATAAAAGACCAGGGCTTTTATAAGAGAGTTTGTCCAGCACCATGGGCCAGCAGGTCTAGTAAGTATTTTGGGGATTACACTTCTTCAAAGGCAAAATGAAGACAACAGTGAGCGAACAAGCAATCCTTCTTGCAGACATGAAGAACATGTGTCCTGCTTCATGCCAGAGACTAAGCTTTCCCACCTCTTTCAGGAAAGGACAGCAGGACAGGGGCCATCTGCCTAAAATGTGGGTTTCTGCAGTGAGTAGGTGTCTCCACCTGAGCATGTCATCAAACTCCTGGGGTGACTGAGTCAATACAGTCCCTGGAGAGATGGTTCTCCGCTTCTAATTACTCTGCAGGTTCCCATTTGTACCGAGAAGCCCCACTGACAGAGGCATCTCCAGTCTCGGCACACAGTGTTAGATGGGGAGGATCCCATCCCCAGGGTCCTGTCTTTTTCTTTGGGGAACATATTTAACCTTAAAGCTGTAGAGACAGATAGCAAACGTGCAAGGCTAACCTTGTGTCAAAAGCTTCATGGTTTCATCTCTAAGTCCTTCGATATCTACTGGATGAAGGCATGCTGTTCCCAAACTTTCACACACGTTTGCTTGCCTCTGGACTGCATATTGTGAAGAAGAGTGTTTGGTCCTCATTTCTATTGCTGCCACATGGAAGAAGCATTTCTCCCTCCCTATACATATCCAAACTGTTGTAGATCATCTCGTTTGGACTCACCCGAGTTGTCATGCAGATGAATGAATGAAAATAAAAGTCACCCCTGAACCTATTTTGCAATCACCTAACAAATCGCCCCTGTGAACCATACCTCTAAGACTTACCAGCTACTAAGACGAGAGCTGAGGTGCAAGTCAGTGCTAGGAATGGCTGGTACATGGTTGCTGCCACTCTAGACACAGTTTTTCTGTTTTAGGATATTGCAGATCAGAGGAAGGGAAAGTTTCCTTCCATAGTTCACTGCCTTCCATAGTTAACACCTCATGTGTGATTCCATCTACAGGGAACAAGCTCTTGGGCCTCCTGCCCAGTGACAAGTTCAGATATTTCTGGTCCAGAAGAATCAAGTGGGGAACATCAGACCATAGCACACATTTTCCAAGCAGGTTTCTGCTGGAGACCTCCTGGGATGTTGTGGCCTGTGTTATTGCTGCTCCCTGCTCCCTCCCCATAAGCCTAACGTGGAGTTGAGCACAATATGTGATGTATACCTTGTGGTGCTGCTGCCTGTTGGTCGAGGAACACTTACATCCTGGCTAACAAAGCAGGCAAGTATAGCCAAAGAGTACATGAAAGCTGTTGGCAGCTGATTTCCACAGGGGTAGCTATTCTAGGTGTTGTCCCTATGCAGGTTGAAACGAGCTGTGAGGTTGCAGCTTTAGGAAACCACAAAGACAGTTGTGGCCCCTGGATGAGGACCCATCTTGTACGGCTTGTTGGATCCAAATTTGGGAAGTATCATGTCACAGCCTACGTAAAATATCTGGCTGGAAGCTTGGATTCAGTGAAGGAGCTTGTGCAAGCTGTAGGCACTGATTCTCCCCTGGAGGGGTGGGAGCTTTAGCAGATGGTGTTGCAGGATGCTAATCTAT